TGCGGAATTCGCTAAGCTGCCTGCAAATTATAGAAAATCCCCCAAAGACGCCCAGTCCAGAGATGTGGGGATAAAGAAAAAGCCAATGTAAGCAATAAGCAGGAACACCATTATCTAATGCCCGTCGCGCCATTCAGGCATAAAGCCTCCTTTCTACATTCGCCTTTCCTCTCGTGGAAAACTTCTTAGGCCCGAAAATAGTGCGCAGGAAATAAAGCACAAAAAGGCAATAAAAATTTCTGCTGTCCCCACGCACACACCAACACACGACGACGACTATTTTGTAGATGCTGGCCGCACAGCTTCCGGGCCAATAGAAATGCCAGAGCGTTCAACAACAAAGGCCAAAATCCAAGAGATCCAGCGGCCACCCTTCCAGAAAGGGCCCCCAAATCCGGGGACTGGGCCTAATGGCCAAGGCAAACAGACAGACAGACAAATACAGATATAGAAACGGAGACGTCGCCAGCAGCGGATTTAAGTGCAAGTGATTTATGTCCTCGGAGATGTGGGCGAAAGTCAGTGGTCTGAGTCGAGGTTAGAAATTAGCCAAAAAGAGAGTCCATACCAGCGGGAGCCAAATTGCAATTTTTGGTCGCAAAAAATAAATCAATCAAAAGTTCAATGACGAAAAATCATGAAAAATACAATAGAGAACACAGGAAAAATTAAATAAATATGAAAATACTAAGGTTGATCTTCACCAACAAATATTCACCAATGAAATTCACCAACAGGTATATTTACCCAATGATATTCACCAGGTGATATTCACCAATATATATTTTATGAGGTATATTCATAAATTTATCAATAAATATTCTATAATATTTATTAAGCAATTTAACAATGAAATTAAATGCAACAATCCTTTTCCAACAATTCACCAATACACTTGTTTAAAAGAACTCGATTATTTTTCATATGTTTGATCCCAAATAATAAACTTTCTCCCCGTGCATTTAGCAAATATTTGTGCCCTGGAAAAAGGGTTTAAACGAGAAAGAGCAACTCAAGACAAATTCAATTAGCAGCGGTCAGTGGCTACCCTTTCAGATATTTGAATCATAGGAAATAGATGCCCTTCAAGCTGGATTCAATTACACGTTACAAGTGGTCAATACCGGCTAAGCGGACTTAAGGCCCCCTTTTATATTTTCCCTGTGGTCAGTTGCGTGTTGGTGTAATTGAAAAGCACTCAATGGGGTCAAAGGGATCGGGAATTGGACTGGGTATCGGGGGTGGAGATAGGATCAACTGCTGACTAATCGAGTTTAAAACAAGCGTAAATTGTCCTGGCCTTTCCTTTTGATATTCGAGCGGACTTCAGTGGCGTTTACTTGCGGTGCCAAGTGCAACGAATACGCCGGGTAATTAATGGTAATTGTCCAAAGCTGAGCTCAGCTGAACCCACATAGGGCTTCCCTCAGGTGAGCAGGCCATAAAAAATATACAAGGAGAGGGAAGAGAGGTGCACTGCATTTGCCTAATGACACAAAAGTAAACCGTCCAGCGACTTTGTATAATTTCCACCGCCTTTTCGTTAAGCTCTTAAACCGATTTGCAGCTTAGTTGAATGGCCAGGAGATAGAGGAGCGACATCAGTGCAAATATTTCACAAAGCCAAAAAAGCTAAAAAATGAAACCAAAACTCCGTGGTGTGTTCATTGGAAAAAATGCCTTAGGGCAAGACAAAGACAGTGTGTGTGTGTTTTTGGTTTTTGTTTGGTGGCTTGTCTTGTGGCATTTTTACGGCATAAATTTCCATTGAATTGATACTTTTCGAGACTCTACAACCAAAAAAAAAAAGGGTTGACACAATCAGGTAGAGTATTTCCTCCTGTCGGTCGCCGTCCTTTGAAGGCAGCACAACACTTGAGCCACAAAATTTCATTAAGATTTCAAAAATGCTTTTTGCTACGATCGATTTCCTGGAATTGCTTAAAAAGGAGTTAAAATGGAAATATTCTATAAAATATTTACGACTAGAAATTAAATTTTGTGGGCAAAAGTTTTCGATTTAAATTAAATTGATTTTTTGTTGGCCTTAAAAAACCAGAGAGCCGTCAGTTTGGCATGTCTCTTGACGCCCAAAAACCCAAAGATTTCGTTGACCCAAAAGGTATCGCATTCAACGCTTCATCTACAAGCCTTTTGCAATTCCCCTGACGAAACCAAATTCTGATCAAAAATCCGAAACTAACACTAAAAAAAAAGGCAGAAAAACAGACGAAAGATCAGCCGCAGACAGCGAAATTTTGTGGCAACTGCATTGAAACATTAGCAGTGATGACATTTCTGCGGTCAGCCAACCCCCGGGTCCACCCTCCAAAATGTCTGGGGATCGTCTGGTTTTGTTGCTTTTGATGGTTGAGAGAAATTCCTGCCAACGCGACACTTCATACATAATAACAAAAGATCGCAGGGATCACAAAGGCCAAAAAATTGTTAACCACATTAAGATATGGGGTATACCTGATACCCTGTATACTTTTGTAAGAAGTACTAACTATTTTTTCCTAAATTCTACTACTTCCAAGCTGCTTCTAATAGTAAATTCCCCTAATGCTCTAAAAACCTCATGAAAATACACACCAAACCCGTCATAATGAACTCATTTTATAATCCCATCACCCGAGGGTATTTGGACCTTCGACGTTCAAACCCAAAAAACCCATCAAGCTTTCAGTTCTCTTTTTTTTTTTTTTTTTGTAGCATTTGTAGGGCTTTCGTTGCCTTTTGGTTTATTAATTGTAGCCTTGGACTTGGCGATGGTCCGTCTTTGTTTCTCAAATGAATGCACAAAATTTCGGGACAAGTCTGCTCTGCGTTGCGGTTTCTTTTGGGCCACAAAACGCAGACAGTATGACGACGTCGAAAGCCACAAGAGCCGAAAGCCGAAAGCCGAAAAACAAACAAATACAAAAAAAGCCAAGCACATAAAAGTAAATTATAAGAAAGAAATCCTTTTGGCTAACTCGTGTTTCTCTTTTTGAGGTGAGAGTGCGGCTAATGAGCCAAAGCCAAAGCCAAAGTCTCTGCCTTGGATCCTTCTTTTTTTTTGTATTTTATCTGGAGCTCGGCCTTCGATTTCAGAAAAACCAGTTGAAAGAGTTTTTCGGTAAAAGGGAGTGGATTGACTTAATGCCTATAAAATTATAGGTTTCTACTCGGACAACCCAGCTTGGAAAATTGTGTGCGAGAGCGTTTGTTTTGGGGCGTTGCTCGAGAAATTAAAGAAACTCAGCCAACACGAAAGAGCATTTTCCCCACTTGCTGGAAGAAAATGCCTTTGAATTGGTTTGACTTTTTGAAGAAACCCAGAAACACGCCCCAGGCAATCACGCAAAATGCCAAATTACATGTAGCCACCATTAAGCGAACGAACTCGAGCTCGAGACTCATCTAACACGCACCCAGAAGGGGAAAACACCAGGGTATTACCCGAAAAAAAGAGTCATTTAAGGTGTTTCTTACACGCGTTCGTTACCCTCGTGTGTTGGTAGAGGGGCAGCTGTCCAGAAAACGATCGGATGAACTGCTCGAATTTCATAAATTCCTCAGATTCAGACGCACTTATCCTGGCGTGATCCTTGTGGGCCGCCTGCAACTGGCAGCACCCCCAAAATTCTGTATCGAAATCCTCCCTCTGCTAAGAGGCTTACACGTGCCTTGGGTTTTTTTGTTGGTAATACGAGCCAAGCCGTTCTCAATTTACAGGCAATGTTAATGGAACAGGAGCCAGGGTCAGGACTGTGTTCAGTTCAACAGGGTAACTGGGTCAGTTTTATAGGTTATAATCAAGAGGAAATTGTGGCAAATATTACTATAAGATATGGAAATTATTATAAACATATTTAAAGGGTTATTTAAATATTATAATTATCATATTATAGTAGTAAATAATTGTTATAAATTGTAATCAACTTTGTGGCAAAAGTATATAATAAATATATAGTAGTCCTGTTCTGCGTTGAAAATCACAAAATGGGGTTGTATAATATTTTAAGCACTTGTTTTAAACACTTTTAAAACAAAGTTCAGTCCAAGCAATTAAGTAAAACTCTCTTGAGGTCATTTCACAAAATCCAAATTCCATGAAAACCTAAAAGAAAGTTATACCAACACTTAGAGATGACCTTTTTGCCCTAAAAAATTGTTTATAAACGCGGCTGAAAAGTAGAGAAAGATCCTAAATGATACAAATAAATCCATTTTTGCAGTTTTCAGCACCTAAAAATTCCAGAAAATCTAGAAAAGAACTGTAAAAAATCCAGCAAATCCAGTTTTAATGGTCATCCTTCTTGGGTCTTCAGCTGCTTTCGGTTCCCAGTTCCATAAAAGTCCTCCAATTGCTTAAATAACTAAGTTTAGGTCAGAGAAAAAATCCATTTGGTTTTTTTGTTTTATACTTTTCAAATATATTTTGGTTTTTTTTTTGTTTTTTGTTTTGTTTTTTTGTTGTTGTTTGTTTTCGTTTTTGTTTCTTCGTTTTGTTTTCATATATTTATTGGCTAACTCTTTAAACTTTACTCTGTAGTTCTTTTTTGTTTTGCTTTTACTCTTAATCCTTCCTTGTTTTAATTATATTATTAGTATACAATATAAATAATTAAAAATATTACATTAAAATGTATTCGTATATCGTATAGAAGTTGCTGGTTGTTTTTGTTTGTTGTTGGATTTTCTTTATGTATATTTTACTTTTCCTTCTCTTAATTTTTGATTGCGTTTTCTCTCATCGTCATCGTCTTATAACATTTACTTTCATTTTACAATTTTGCTAAAAACTAAATAAAATGTTTTGTTTGTAAAAACAATAATAATAATAATAATTATTAAAAAATGTATGCTCAAATTATTGTTAATTTGTTTATTTTGTGTGTTTCTTTCTTGTTTTATATATTTTAAAAATAGTAAAAAGCAAAAAAGCGCCTTCTTTCGATTTTTAAAACATATTTACGTATATATTTTGCATCATTTTTTTTTAATTTAGTTTGTTTTTTTTTTCATTTTCATTTTTTATTATTATTTTTACTTGCGTTATATTTTTATAAAATATCACCTAAAGCAATTACGTATTTCAGTTTCAGTATTTTGTGTGTGTTTGTGTGTGTATTTTAAGTTTATTTATACAATGCAACAATAAAAAATTTTTGCTTGGTTTTTATAATATTTTTTAGCAAAACATTTAATACAGAAAATCATTAAAGTATAATGGTTCAACGAAAATGCAAAAAGCTCACACAATAAATCATAGGAAACAAAGTTTTTTCTCTCCTTTTTTGCAACAGTGTTTTTTTTTTTTTTTTTTTAACTAAAAGCGGCGAATTATGCTAACAGAAAAATTATTACATAATTACAGCAATTTTTCGAGTTTAAATTTAGTTTCTTACATACAAGATTTTTAGGTTTTTTTTAAGGGTTTTGAGACAAAGTACAACAACTATTTGAATTTTCATAATTTTGCAAGAAAGTTTTCCCTCATTTTCTTGTTAGTTTTGAAAAAATAGTACAAAAGCTTTGTTGTTGTTGTTTCTTCTTGTTGTTGTTGTTGTTTAGTTAGTTGGCTATAATAAACCGCTGGGAAATCGGTTCAACTATAGTCTAAGTATACAAATGACTGCCCATATAGCTGAAGGAGCTGCTGGATCGACTGATCGCAGCTCGATTTAAGTACATTTATTTGTATTTTGTAGTTTTTGTTTAGTAGTAGTGTTCTACAACTCAAAATAGTAGTAGAAGTTAGCAGTAGAAAGTGTTTTGGTAGCTAGAGAAGAATTGCGTTTTCTCATATCCTTTCGTATTGCATGTTGAGGGTTACGACTGCCTAGGGTTCAGGGGGCCTGACTAAGAACTATATAACGTACGCTATAGTATACAAGTTGGGGGGGATTGGAGGGTAGCGGCTGCTCCTTCTCTCCTTCTAATTCAATTAAATTACATTTAGCTTTCCTCCTTCCCTTTATATTTATTTAATAATAATAGTATCGCGTAGTTTTCGATTTGCTTCGTTTAGTAAATGCTTAAAGTTTGTTTAGTTTTAGTTGGTTTTGCTGTTTGCTTTTACGTATATCAATTGTTCTTGAAAGTTCCTCGGCTCATTTAAAATGTCGATCGTTCGGATCCTCAATTTAATTAAATTAACTTTAAGTTTCTTAGTTGTTGTTTTTTTTCGTATTTTTTGTTGCTTTCTCTATGTAATAAACAATAATGTTTTATTCGTATACTTTGCATTTGAACTCAGGTTTTGGGTTTTTTTGCTTTTCTGGTATCTCTTTTTTACGTATATGCGTTGCATGATGAGAGTTGAAAACAAAAACAAAAAAAAAAGTGATTAACGAAAATATCCTTATGTCTTCTTTTTAACATTCTCTTCCTTTTTTTTTCTCTCGTATTATTTGGCAAGTTTCGCTCCAGTGTTGTAAAACACACGAAGGGAAAAAGGACGTTTTGTTTTTAGAAAAATCGTATACACGTTTGCTAAATTGAAAAATTCCCGAAATTATAGAGGAAATTAAAAATTTTCAAACTAAGCTTTAGAAAATATATATTTATATATATATGTGGGGATAGAAGTTTCTAGGAATTAACTATATACTTCTTTCTATCTCTTTCTTTTCTTTTTGTTTAAGCGCAGCCTAGACTGGATTTTAGTTACAAACTACATGGCTAAGCTTTATCTTTATATTAGATCGATTTTCCGTATATTTATAGAGAACTGATGGGGGGGGAGGGGGTTAAAATCGGGGCTGGACTAGAAGTCCGCCTCGTGTTTGATGCGATAGCTGGCATAGGTCTCCTCCAGCGGTGAAAAGTCTTGGGTGCTGGGCTGTGTGTGTGATCATTCGTTTGGTTTTTCCAAGTAATTGGCACAGATTTAGGTAAAAGAATTTTGGGGTTTTAATGGTTGAATATAGATAGAGAGATTTTAGAAAATGGGAATAATATTCTTTGTGGGCTGTGTGTCTGTCTGCTTGTTGCTGTTGTTGTTGTCATCTGAGAGGAGGGACTTTTGGGGGGTATTTCAAATATTTACAAGTTTACAAACTCAACAAAACTCAAACCGATAACCGAATAGGTTATCGATACCCGCCGACTAACTGACCAGGCCCACGAGATATCGGGGACAGAAGAGTCAGAGGCCAGACTTTCGTATATCATATAATCAGTATACATATATAATATATGCGTATGCTTGGGTATTATATATATATATAGTTTCTATATAGAACTCTATATAGAGTTATGTGTGCATATGTAAAAATGTTAAAAATTGGTTAGATTTTTGGGGGGTTAGTAAACTTTCTCATAATATAAGATTATTACTTCAATTCTTGTTGATTGGATTTTAATATTTAGGGGGGACTTTTTTTGTTTTTTACTTTTTTCAAGGGGTGTTCAGTATTAAGTAAGGGGGAAAAATAATCAAAAATAGTTGGTTGGTTGGTTAATGGTTTGTGTGAGTGTTGTTAATAATAATTAATAATATATTGGCGAGCTATATGGGCCTCTTGCAAAAACGAAGTTCTCGAACATTTTCATATTGTTGTAATTTAGTTCTCAATTACTTTATGCTTTTCATTTTCTTTGTTTTCTGTTTTCTTACTTTTGTTTTCGGTTTTTTTGTTGTTGTTTCTTTAGTTGTTGGTACTTTTTACAAATTAAGCGAAATTGTTTGTTGCTCTAATTATTGTTGCTCAGTTGCTTTTTGTTTATCTTTTATCATTTACAATCTGCTTGAGATATATAAACTGATATTTGTATTTATTTTTTCTTTTTTTTTTTTAAGAGGGAGTGAGATAAGCTGACGGGCAGAAAAGAACAGGCGCGAAATCCAAAAAAGAAATCCACTCAAAAAGTGCATAGTTTTTGTCTTTCGTTACTACTCTTTGCTGCCTGCAGCTGTTGTTGGAACTTAAATTTATGGCATTTACTGTACACAGAAGGAGGAGAGCAAACAAATTTTTTGGCCGTGGCAGCAACGGTAGCAACATTAATGGATTGTCCATATATATATGAAGATATATATATATATATAGACACACGTTCGTAGTTCAGTCGGTTTTCGTTACGCGTTCGTTCGAGTCGGTTATCAGTTCGGTTTTCGTGGCCGAAGCCTCGTTTTTTTGGAAGCTCGTTTGTCGCTGGTACGTTACTCATGTCGGTTACTGTCCTCTCTGTGCCGCCAGCCGATGTATGTTGCTGCCGTATGTGTGTGTATGTTGCCGCTGTCGCATAGCTATGTTGCTGCCGTGGATGCTGCTGCTGTGTGCTGCTGCTCGCCGGCTCGTAAAACTCCTCTGCTCTCCTTTATATTTTCGCTTTTGATTTGGAATTATTACTGTTTTTTGAATTGGTTTCTTTTAATTTGTAATAGGTAATTTTTGTTCAGCTTTCTTCGCTTATTTTTGTTTCGGATTCTGATTTTAATTTACAAAGTGTGTGTGTATATTATGGGTGTGTGTGTGTGTTTTTTTGGATTTGTTCATAATGACGTACAACTTCTTCTGCGTTCGGATTTGGATTTGAATTCATCAATATTAATATTATGTTTGATTTTTTTTAGATTTTTGTTTGCCGCAACAAGCAGCAACATTTTCGGTTCTTTACTGTTATCGGTTATCGGTCATCGATTATCGATTGTGGCATTTTCGATTTGGCATTCGATTCGCACTCCAACTCGATTCGATTCGATTCGATTTCGCTTTCGATTTCGTACTGATTGATCGCATTGCAATTATTATTATTATTGATTCATTTTAATCCCAGGGCATTGTGAGCACCCGCTTCGTTTTTGCAAGAAGGTCGTTATCGTACTACGAACATGGGTGCACCACCGCATTGTAGCTCGCCAATATAGGACCATGTGCTCCCGCGAAGGGGGTACTCACAACGTCTGGTGTACTAGCTCCATCGGTGTGCGACGTGGAGTCGGCATTGCTGCGCCCTTCTCCGTTCGCCGATCCCAGCTCCGGTGGCTTGGTGGTGTCCCGTTCGTCGATCACTAAATCTATTGGCATTTTACCCTTTAAACACGATATATACCGATGACAGAAGTTATCGCATAATTCGTGCACCTGTCGGAGAACGAGGGTTTTTGTTTTTGTTTTTTGTTTTGGGGGGAGAGAAGAGAAGAGAGAAGAAAAGAGATCATCAGTTGTGTTTTCGATTTTGTTTTTTAGTTCTCTAGAGATTTTATTGGTATCTCCAGAGGAAGGGGGCGGCGGTTTTAACAAAGGGGGTGCGGTGGTTTTTTAGGGTGATGCTACTCTATATAAAGGGGGTACTCTAAGAATTCGTAATATTTATATTTACAAGGGGTTTACTTATTTTAAAGGAGTTTCTTAAGTGATTAAAATATTAAGTGAAGAAATATGGTCATATGAAGTAGTAACGAAAGCAGTCTAGGTGATCGAATGGTTTGGTTTCCTTATTTTATTGAGGTAAATTCCATAATTGAATTTTTAGTTTAACCTTTTCGATCATCTATCTGTTTGAAATGCTTTATTTTATACAAGATCAGTTAATAATAAAGAATTATTTTTCACTGACTATTTTTGTTCTTATATATACACTTAAAGCGAACCTAAACATTGCCATACTTAGCGCCATCACATTCTTGCCACAATCAACCCAAAAAACCGGCTCATCCTGGCACTTTCCGCGCGATCCCTGCCCCCGCAAAATGGCATGCAAATTGCTTTTGATGCGTTACCTGCTAAACTCCATCTGCAACTCCAGACGATGGAGACCCAGAGCCAGGCCAGACCCATGGCCATGATGATGGCACTCAAAAATGGCTGAGGGACAAAGCCTCTCTCTAACCAAGGCCCATAAATATGCATAGAGAGAGGTCCGAAATAATGCACTGGCCGAAAAGGAAGTGGAAGGAAGGAGGAAGGCGGGCAAGCTCAGTGCCTCGGGGCACACTTTCAGCAAGGCAACCAGCCAGCCAGCCAGCCAGCCAACCAAGCAGCAACATCAGGCAGCACGTGCAACACTCGCATTAGCAACATGGAGATGATGTACACTGAGGGAATTCCGGTTTTCTGGATTTTTATACAGCCTTGAATCATTTTCTAAAAGTAATATTTTTCGTTCAGTGCCCAGAAGATCGCTGTGGCGTCAGCAGGAAAAAGGCCCAGAAGACTTTGGCCAACAGAATGCGTTTTTAAAGCCCTGTTGTTGCTGTGGCTGCCTCGAGTGTGTGTGTGTATGATAAAACAAATGCGATAAGGCCAAAGTGAGTGTGAGTCAGGCATACTATATGCAAATATGCAGGCAACAAAGAGAGGAATGCAGCCGCCGCCACGGCTAAAAAGAAATTAATTGCACTGGGCCATGGCTGGCAGACACAGCAGCAGCAGCAACAGCAACAACACCAACAACAGGGTGCTCCATTTAACCGATGCCTGGCATTTAATTTACGAAAAAGTGCGCGTTGCTTATGCAAATTGTTTGTTGTTGCTGCTGCTGCTGTGCCGTGTGTTGCGTTGCTCCTGTGCTGCTGCTTCTTGACTTCATTTTTTGTTGTATTTTTTGTATTTTTTTGGCCTGCGAAAGCTGCAACGGCGGCCAACGGGGCTATTAACTTGTTGCCCATTGCCCAAACTTGTCAAACTCGTTTGCAGGCTGCTTTCAATGTTATTGTCACCAAAAAAAAAAGCTCAAAAAAAAGATGATAAAAAGCAACGGCGGCCTGCAACTGGTTTATGACAGGACAATGTCAAATTTGTCGCCGCCGCCGCCGCTGCGCTGATAAGCAACAGTGCACAGCAGCAGCAGCAACATGTTGCTCTGGTGTATCAGTTTTATGATTGCATTTGTAGCTGTCAAAGCGACCATAACAATATCCATAAAGCTTGGAATTAGCACGCCAGCAACATGTTGCTGCTGCTGCTGCCGCTGTGCGCCCACCAAATTGATATGTTTATGATGCCGGCAGATGCCGAGGGAGCATCCTCATCAAGACCCTTCGGAGACTCAGCTTTCGATGCCGGCTGGCTGATAACTTTTGATTAATTTGTCAGCATTGTATGTGACATTTTCGAACGGCTCATTGCGATATTTATGACTGTCACAAAAGCAAGTCCCCCAGAAGGCCCCCATGTTGTTGCTGTTGCACATTCGCTGTTGCTGTTGCTGTTGCACATTGGGTGGGCCCTCGACATGCGGCAGCAACAAGAGGGCGTGCGTTACTGCCCGCTCATTTGTACATCCTGTTAAGCAAAACTTTTCACAGCAACAGCAGCCACCCCTCTAGTAGCCCCTCACAGCTTCCTCTCTTTACTCTATGTAATTCTAATCTCGATGCAAATCGCTCCAATCTGCGCAGTGGTAATTCTCGATTTCCGTTCATAGATAGGCCCCAACCGTTTAAAGTCAAAGTCCCCGGCACGCAACAGCCTCCAACACACTCTGGCTGGGGTCTAACAAGTTTCCGTAGCCAACTCTTTTCCCTCTGTGCTGCTCTGACATTTAAATGAAATGTAATTAATGGTAATATGGTATGCACTAGTCTGGGATGGAATGCTAACTGTATTGCTTTATAAATCTGTGGAAAATAGTCATTGAGAATATCATTTCTACTTGGCTTTTTGGCAGATCCCTCAGCTTGCATCATCGGTTTCAGACACCACAAAAAAAAATACTCAAAAAGCATACAGCTGTCGCTGGAAGCAATCCCGAAGCGATCTTGGCCAAGCCATCAAAACAAGGCCCCCAAATTGTTGTGTGTGTGTGTGTGTGTTTGTGTGTGCCCCCATGCCGATTCCGATTCTCCGATTCTCTGATACCCCCTGCCGGTGGAGGAGCGTGTGCAACTGAGTGACCCAACGTGTTGTGTCTCCGACTCTGGACTCCATCTCGGTCTGTGTGCTGTGTCTTTTTGTCCCACTGTCCATCAGGCGGTTAGTCCCACCGTCTCGTCGTCTGTTTGTCAATTGCAATGCCTGCCTGCCTGCCTGCTTGACTTTTTTGTTATTTTTGTTTAGTTTTTTGTGTTCTCCCCTTATATTTTTTGCTGTATTTTATTTTTTGTTTTTTATTTTTATTTTTTGCATGACTGGGGAGCTAAAAAGCTGGAGAGACTGGGAGCTCTGTGTGTGACTGAGGCCCAGACTGCGACTGAGGAACTGAGACTGCCAAACCAGTTTTGACAGACACAAGTCTTGAAAACGTCTTTTTAACTGATTCTGTTTGCTGTAGCAACAAATATGCACAGATACAGATATATATATATACATATAGATGTTGTATTATTTTTGTTGTACTTTTTTTTACCAGCCCGCACATTTTATTTAAGTATATTTTTTGTTGTTTTGTTCTTTTGCATTTATATTTATTTTATACACCAAAAAATCGACCGCTGCATTTTGTTGGCTGCATATAAATGAATGTGCTTTATTTTTTGTTCGATTTTTTATCCTTTTTTTTATATACATATATTTTTTTGGGTTTTTGTACAAGTTGCTACAGTTCTTTGTTGGTTTCGTGTTGTGTGTCGCAAGCTGTGTGAGTGACAAATGACAAAACAAAAACCTGTCGTGGCCGCTGCTGCTGCTGCTGTGATGTTGATAAAGATCTTGACTGTTGTTTTGTTTTATATTTATTTCTTTCTTGCCTTTTTTTTTATTTTATTTTTCTGGCTTTCTATACAGGGTGCGCTGCAAACAAATTGCAGCTGGCCAACTGACTGACTAACTTGGCTTACTGCACTAGTTTTGTGCGTTTGTTTTGCATTGGACTTAGAAAGCGTTTTGCCAGGCTAATTGCACCTTGATTGACTCTTCTTCTTGTCTGTTCGATTACCTGTCATTAGCCTATATCTGGGTGGAAAAATGTACTCTCTACGCAAAGCCAAAAGAAAATAAAAAGAAACCGAAACGGACATCACATTCCACAGCAAATGACTTTAACTCTACTATATATTCCCTAAGCGTTGTGCTTGTATCATTTTATGCACACAAAAAAATAAATCGGAGATGAAACACGACTTGTTTTGATTTATGAAAAGTATTTTTAAACTTTGGAAAATTTAATTTAATTTTTAAAATAAATTAGAAAGGAAAAGTCAAGGTTTTCCCAGGCTTAGAAGAGTTTTGAAAGATTATTAACTTCCATTACGTCAGAAAATAACCCTTTATATCATAGAGATTTATAGATTATTTCCATTATATAGATTATTCGTTGAAACCTGCTTCGATCAGCTATGAACTCTAATTATATCGGCTTATTATGAAGCACTGAAGTTTTAATAGTGTCTGATGGCTAGGCAGGCATGTCTAATACCCATTTATAAGTCATGTTCCGCGGCCAAGATTTGTTCTTGATTAGCTCTTTTCTCAGTGTGTTCTGTCCAGTGTTTTGCATAATTTCTTACTTAAGACTTAATTGAAAAAAAGAGTAAGAGACGGGTTTTGCTGCTGCTGTTGGCTTGCTGGCCAGCTTAGACTTAAACTCCTGCTCTGGGTTTCGGTTTCAGTTTCGGTTTCGGTTTAGGTTCGCTCCACGCTTCGTTGCGCATTTGCCTAATTAATTTTCTCAGCACAGCAGCAGCAACAAAAATAAAATACAATACAGAAAAGAGGGGGTAGACCGGCATTAATTACGACCACGTTTGAGGAACAACTTCCATTAAGTCACAAGAGTGTAAGAGAGAGACTGACACGCACCCGAAGCTGGCAGGGCTTGCTTGCATATTATTTGAAATTAAAACAAATTAGGCAACCTGTAATTTTTCCATTTAGACAATAAAGTGTCTAATAATCAAGTAGGTGTTTGGAACCCTCACTCCCTCCTCTTGCGGCATTTTAAAACATAAGAGAAAACCTCCCCCACTTTGGTAAAATAATTTATGTTTGGCTTGGTGTGTTATCTAGGAATTTTCAGAGTTAGAAAATCGAGGGGAAGTTCTGCAGCAGTCATCACACCTCATGTATCAACAACAAAGGCAAAGGCCGAATAAAAAAACTGAATGCATTCCATTGTTCAACTCGAAATGTTATATTTCTTTTGCATTCTTTTATCTTACGCATGAAACTGTAACCAAAACTACATAAAACACCTGCCGCTAAAGCCAAATATTTGTGGTTTAGGCCACATCCTGTACATATGCCTAACAAATATTTCACTCTGATTGCCAATTAATTCAATTTTCAGCTGCACTTTTTGCCGTTGCCTTTAATTTAGACATTTTGCAAGTGTATTAGACAAGCTGCAGATATATGGTCGCCTGCTGTGGGACTCTACATTTATCCCCAACCCCAGGGCCGCCTTGGAACATGGCTCAATAAAATGTCAACACAAATGTTGGTAATTGAAATGCGCGCCCGTTGGCAACTATTTGCCTGCTCTTTTTTCGCGTTCTGGGCTCGGGGTTTTATATTTATGGGCCTGCTGGCTGGAGACTGTGTTTTGGGTCCTGCCTGGGTTCCTGGTTAAGCATTTTGGGTGGTCTTTTTGGGGCGTTGATAAATGATTGCCGGCGACTTGGCTGGGCCTGGCCTGGCTCTCTGGCTTTTTCAGTTAATTGCAATGACTAAACAAATGCTGCTTTTTCTGCAGCTTTGATGAGGTTGCATAAATGGATTTTCCCCCGATATTAAAGCTATTGGCATGGCAATGTTTAAGCTTGCTTAAAGCGTTGTACTTTAACTTAGTTTTGGGGGGGATATTTGCTTGAAAAGAAAGGTGTTACTTACTTTTTCTAATTCTAAAAGGTGAAACCGAAGTACTTGTATTGCTTGCACCATCTGGAAAGAGAGAAAAATGTAAAATTAATTAGTTTGCACATAAAAAAAGGAATTTAAATTCAAGTTAGAGTGACCAAAGCCGTTATTAAAGCATATAAATCTAGTATAAACTTTTAGATAACTAAAATTACCTCTTTTAAATGCCCAATTAATCTATAATTATTTATACAACACTCCCTTTTGGCCCCCATAAATGCACAACTACTGGATTTTATGTTGCTGGTGTGACCAGACCGCTAATTAAAACATCAGCTTGACATTTGACATTTTTACGATGCTGCTAACTGCTGCTGTGTGGCCTGCGTTTGGTTTTGGTTATTGTGTCTGCCGCTACTGCCAGGAATTCCATTTAAAACCCAAGACATGCCATAAACATTTTTATAGCAAGGGGTTTTCTCTCTTGTGTTTTTATTTTTTTGTTGTATTTTTTTCTCTTCCTTTAAGTGAGTGTTACTAAATGCACTTTTAAATGTTCAAACACGATAGCGGATAAAGGGGGAGTGGCAACCACAGGCTGGCATGCCAAAATGATTTATGGCCAAAGTACGCAGACGCGAGCGGGCCAAAAGATAGACACACATAGGCACAGGGCCATGGCCAAGAGTTGGCGATCTAGGGAAAAGAGTGGGGTCTTGGCGGAGGGCCTTCAGTGATTTTGTACTACAACTAATAAACTAATCTGCAAGTGCATAAAATTAAGGCCACCAGAGGCAGCAACCCACCCAGCCGCGAGCTAGCGAGTGGGTAAGTGACACATTTACGACTGCCGGCAATTAAAATTAGTTTTGCCCATAATCTCTTTATACTCTGCCAGACTTTTGCTCCACTATATATACTCCTTTTTTTGTATTTTTTTTTTGTATTTATCCGCCGACTTTAGCTTAGCTGCTACCCAATTGCACGGTTCGTTTTGCATTTTTTTTTGCACTCTTTGCACGCGGCATTTCCGTCTTGATTTACATTCTGCTGGATGCTGGCTGCCCTGCCGCCAAAATGATCTCTTTTTGGTCGTAAAAATTGTTATGACTCGGAATGCCAGGAGGAATACAAAAAAAAAAGAGGTAAAAAATAAAAGAAATAAGAAGGAGACTGCCAAAGAAGAAGGATCTGCCAGGTTAGTTGGATTAATGTGCTATGTGAAGGTATTTGCGGTTTAAGGATGCTTGCTACACCTTGAGAAATAGTAAGATTCTAGGTGAAACTAGCCATAAAGTGAATTCAATTAAGAGATAAAATATAGTTTATCTATTATTATAAAGTTAGACTTATTCTATTTACTATGAATTTAGTTAGTTGTCTTACTTTTCCCTTCTAGTTTTTTGATATATGTACATATATCTTCCTTTTTAATATCAACTCATTTCCCCTGTGCATTCTGACTCATATCGGTTCTCCTCAGAAATCTCGAAGCTCTGTTAACGATCATTTCCCTTGGCAGATTAGCATGAGTTCCCGTTTCCCCTAAACTATAATAATGCTCTTCGAAGATCACAGCCTCATCATGAGCTGCACTGCCGCTGATCATGATCAGCGCCAAGGTTGCTGTTTGCCGCCTGGCATTTGCCTTGGAATGCATATTCTACTAAAGTCAAGACGTTGGCTCCATTGTTGTTATATATATATATTTTTTATATATTTTTTTTTCTTTGCACACCCAAGGCTGCTGCTGCTGCTGCTGTTGCTGCTGCTGCCCAGGCAGCCCATTTAGAGAGTGCAAAAATGTCATATGCATCATTAAATCGTTCTGCTTCATATTGTCGTTCGCATGGGTTCGCTCGCGGCTGGCCCTCCGATTTTCCCCCGACTATATATATATGTATATTTGTATATACATCCCCCCAGAGAGCTGCAGAGAGCGAAAAGTATGGCAACGCTGTCCAATAAAATGACTAAACAACTCAGTTCAGTTCGCGCTGGCGAACAAATGCTCATAAATTGCGTTCGTTTGCCGAGGCTTTGCTCTTTTGCTAAATTCACTGTGATTTATTCTAAATAAAAGAAAATTATTCAATTGTCGTTGTCGTTTTGGGTCAAGGTGATACCCACACACACAGGCACACATACATACTACATTCAGCATAAAAAACAGCAACAAAAAAAATAGCCATGATCTTTGGCTTTGGCAACTTGCTGCCAAGGAGGCTGTGTGGCAACTTTGTTGCCAGCTTTGGTTTCTTTTTTGTATTTTTTTTTAGATTTTTGTAGTTTGTTTTTTACTTACCAGTGAGTCGACTTCGGGATCTGCGGTATAATAGGGTTTCTGTGATCTTATCTGCAAAGAGAAAGAGCAAGAAGGACAATGGTTAGTGAGTGTTAAATTTTACAGAGAGAAAAACAAAGGGGTTGTCATTCACAAACTGATTTAAGGCATCCCAAAAATCATATAATTATCAAATAAAATATCCAAGAATTTCTCTTTGTGCAAAACATTTACCAGCTGTTCTGGCCTAAAAGCCAAACCCTCTTCGTTGGCACTCTCCTCTTGCTATTTTATGATGGTCTGGCTGCCGATAAGCCCATGCCAAACCAAAATATTGTACACATTATAAAACTACAACAGCAAATCGGTTCCATGGCCTGGGAAACGCCACATTTGTGCCGGGCTCATCAGCTCATCATCAGCGGACCCAAAAACCGAGTCCGAAAAAAAATAAAGCAAAAACCCGGAGCCCCGAAGAGGTGACGATGCGACTCGCTGTGACCATAAAAGAGATTCTCGCTTTTATAGCAATCCCAGCCGGAGCACACGTAGATATAAAAATAAACCACACACTTAGATAAAGATCACAAAGGCAATATCTGGCTAGATAAAATGCCACACAGACCGTACAACCGTACAACCATCCAACCGACCGACCGGAGAAGGTCATCATCAAATGCTGTGCGAATTATTTGATATTTTTTCTGCTGTTTGGCTCTCACGGAACTGAGCTCTCGGATCTTCAGATATTCAGACTTCGGAGTCTTCGAAGATAAACATATACACACCCGCTGCGATATCTTATATAACGGTTGAGGGACCTGACCTTGTCCAAAATCCGTGTGTGTGTGTCTGCTTTGTTTGGGTTTTTGTGGTGCGGAGTTGTTGCTATTTTGACCACCCAGCCACATGCACCAAGGTTGCACTGCATGGGGGAGGTCCAAAGGCAGGGATTATATACGGTTCCGGGGATAAAAGATGTGACCCTGAAAGGGGCTAAGGGAATTATGGGTCTTGTTTGGTTTGAGGTAAGACCATACAAGAGGTTTTTACAGAGACCTCCCTCAGATGAGCAGAGATCTAGGGATAAGTAACTCTCATAAGAGTAGTTGCTGCAGAAATCAATAAAATGATCTGAAACTTGGTATCCCAACTCAAAAAACTCTAATAAAATGAAATATGCATTTTCCTACTTTAAAGTTTCTTTAATAATTAGTGTAATTCCACTTGAAAGAATACCCCATAAACCTTCAAACACACAATTCCCAATTAAACATTGGCGCGACCTTACGTGTTAGGCTGCCCTACTGATCTCCTATAGAGCTCAAGCTCTTCTAGATCTTCCAGAAAAAAATATATATATAAAAAGCGAGAAACACACACACAGAGAGACCAGAGGTCCAGCGGTCCAGTGGTCCAAGGCAGTAACGGCAATTTGAAATCAACTGAGGCATGTGCAGCTAATAATTACACACTTTGCACATGGACACACAGACGACGGACGGGGCGACTTGGAAGACTCGTACTCGCATCTAGATATGTGGGCACTTCCATACCATTGTACGATGGTCGTCGTATGAGAAAAACGCCCCATTGTGAGGCCAACAACAACAAGATAATAGCAAAGCACAAAGCACGGCCATTGAGGAAAAACGGGGGGGTTTAGAAGGGTGAAGCTGAAAAAGCGGAGCCAAGTTGCGTGTTGAGTATTTTGCAAAAGTTGTTGCCTGTTGGCTTTTATGTTGCATTTTCAAATGCTGGTTGGTCGAATGGTGTGGCACTAGCACACACACACACACACCCAGCACACCACATCGATATACAGATAAAATGGGAACTTGCCAAACTGGTTTCTACTATGCAGGCCCGTTCGGTTCGCGCTTTTGGCTTTAACTGATATGAAGAGAGCACAAGTTGGCCTGGCATATTGCACGCACTTTTGAGCCTTAAGAAAAAAAAAAAAGAAAAGAAAACATATAAAAAATGGCCGTTGGGGAACCTTGAGAAGTCCCCAAAAACATATCTCTTCCCATGCTAATTGAAGTTCCTCAAGAGAGACAGATATACATATACATGGGAGATTTTAAAAATATATAAATCATGTGGGCAACTAACTAAAATGCACAGCATGAGACAAGTCTATAAATACAAAATGTTCAGCAGTTGGGGCGTGAAAATGAAATGGAAATAGGAATTGGAATAGGAATGAAAACGAAATGATTTTCCCCCAGACTTTCCATCTCTTCAACATGCTGCAGTGCGTGGGCGTCTCTGCAGCTGACAATTTTATATTTATAGTGTCTAAATACAGGGAGAACCAAAAAATTAATGTTTTTTGACAGATATATATTGAAATCTATCAACAATCTATAATGGTCCTTATAATTCCCAACTAAGTTAAGCATAGATCGCTTTAATCTAGACTCTGGGGATGGTCTATATTTCTCAGCAAATGTATAATATTCTCTCAATTGAAATACTTAGAATACTCTTCCTGAAAAAGGTTACTTCCCCAGAGTGTAGCGCCATATATTTTGTTATATTTTGAATCTGAAACTCATTGAGTGGCAGACATCGTCACGCGCCCCAAACGGAACCTGAGAACCGCCAAGCGAACCCCATTCCTAATCAGTTTCACATGAGCACCTCATAAATTTCTATTTCTGTTTTTCGTTGTTTTCTTTTTTTTCTATTTATTTAATATTGTGTGAGTTTTTTTTTTGCGACAACAGGCGAAAAGAAATCACTACTGTTTAGATACTGCTCTTCAAACGCGCCTTTTTTATGATGCCAATAAATGCAATTATACAACCGGCAAAAGGTTTACAATGTCGCCGCGTCTCCAAATCGTTTGGCCCCAAAGATACAAAAAAAAAAATATATATATAACAAATAAAATAAAGCCAGGGCAAAATAAAAAATAAAAATCGAAACTAGCTGATGGCGTAGGTGGCCATAAATTTCCCTACTCTAGCGATTGTGGGGGAATTTTGAAATCAGTACCATTTCATCAACCACGTGCTATCATCCGCTGTCATAAAAAAAAGAAGGAAAAACTATATATACTACTTGGAGAGACAAATTATGATTCAATCAGGAAATTTCCTCAGACAATTATCGAAATGGGAGACGCCAAAGAAGAAAGCTTAAACTAGGCAACAAAAATCTGGGGGTTCATCAACAGCAAACGACACAATGTTATTATTATTTTTTTATTCAGCGCTCTCTTGATGGGTGGACTATATTCTTTTTATAATGCCAATACACATACGGTTGGGCATGATTTTATGGCCAGGTCGCGAGGCAATAAAATCATTCCGAGGAGATAGCCCCCGACTAGGGACAATAGTACTACTACTACAACCGGGTCTTTTGGTCTGCAGGCACTTGAGTAATATGGCCATAAAGCCCCTGTTATAGTTCCAGTCAGAGTTTTTACCCGGACTCGGGCACCGGGGCCATAAAGCAATTTATGCACCACCGACGGACGGGGACGACTTTGGAATCAGCGCGCACAGTAGCCGCCAAGCATTTCGCTGCCGTCAAACACCGGCTGTCGATCGACAGTTCGCTAAGTCTTTGGCCACTTGAGAAAAGAGTGCAGTGATAACAGTGATAACACAAGGCAGTAGCCAGTAACAACAACAACAACAAAGATTCGCAAATAGCTGAGTAATAGATGGTTGGTAGGGAAAACCACTTACGGAAAAGGGGAAAGTAAGGAAAGTGAGGAAAGTAAGGAAAGTGTGGGTTATAGAACCCAAGCTGAAAGTTCAAAGTTCTTTCCTGAAAGAAGAAAACCACTCCCTCTTATTAGTTGATCTAATTGCGGAGCCAAAAGTCAGCGGGGTATGGGAAAAGCTAGGCGCCTAAATTGCAGCACGTAGCCACATTATATTATTTTCATTTCCATGTTGCGTGCCACGGCGCCAGCCTCATGCGGGTTTCCCTTTTCACCCTGCTTCCCCTTTTCCAACATTATAAACAAACGGAAAATGCCAACAAAACATATATATATTTTTGGGTAGCCAGAGAGATACCAACACACCAACCGAGTGTCTGTGAAAATGTTATCAAGATTTTTTGTTGTACAAACCAAATTAAAGTAACAGCCAAAGATGCAGATAGTGGACTCTGAGACATTTTGAGACAAAGATTACATTCTGGGTTTCCATCAGGAAAATGAAGAAAATGTTGTCTAGACTCGAACAAAAGTGTTGACCGCAAAAGTACAAGAAGTGCAACATCTCTGCTCAGTCACTGCAAAATTGCACTTACCTCAAAGCCGGCGAAACCGAAACTGAGACTCAAAACCGAAGGCTCGAAACGAGACAAAGCCCTATCGGGTTTCTCACACCTACACAATGGGGGGCAAATGGAACCACGCTTTAGGTACCTAAAAGCTTGCACAATGACCAAAAAACTACAACAGGGTCTTGACTTTTAGGGGGGTTTAAAAAAACATATTTTAAGATATATTCAAATAATTGTGAAAAGAAAAAAATATATTATAAAAACACTCAATATTTCATCAAAACGGTTATCGATTTCATTGACATCTTTATTAAAATATATCGTTCTACATCGATTAATTGAACTAACCAAAAACTTCTTGAAAGATATAAATTTCTCTAAAACTAAACCCTTTCCTTTAATTAAATTACTTGGCTTAAATACAAATGAAAGCATAAATAAAAACCATATCCCCCCTTTAATTTATTCTTCTCCACCTCTGCTCGCACAACCCACTCATACAAAAAACAATAATTTCGTTGTAATACAAAACCAAAAGGAAAACAAAAATCCAACCCGGGGGAAAAAAAGAGAACTTTATTTGCCAAGCCGATGACGACGATGATGTTCTGGGGGGGGAGGACAATGTTTAATGTCGTTGATTACTTTTGCCCGGCATCCAAACAAACCCAAATAGAACACAAAACCAAAGCTGTTGTAGTTGCTGCTGTACTCCTAGTTGTTGTTTTTATCTATATCTTTATAATGGGCGCACAATATCGGTAGTAAAACACAGAGCCGCAGCAATTGAGGTGACACAAGCAGAAACTAGAAACAAAAACCAGAGACTAGAGACCCCCCCTCGCACATATATCTATCTATCTATGAATGTGTATAGTTTCTTTTTATAACCCCATGCGTGTGTGTGTGCTGCAGCCAGAGGCAGGCGGCAGATACTACTCCACTCCAGATACTTCAGTTTACGACCCAAAAGTAAACGCAGCACTGTGGCAGCTACCGCTCAGATACACTACATCTAACGCTCTTTCTTCTTTTTTTGTGTAAGCAAACATATGGCAGAAAGAGAGCGAGCCGACGACGACGACAATGTCAATATTTGCATTGGCCAAGAGATTTCTTGGCTGCTTCTTACCTGAACCTGAACCCACGAAGAGCCAGAAAAAATAACAGAAACATGGAGATAATTGTAATGATGTTGCCCCTAAACATCCGGTCTTTAGCTGATAATCGTGTAAATAATAAAAAATGAAATGAAAACAAAAATAAATTTATGAAATAACCTTTCAGAACTTTGCATATTTCGCAGGTTCTGCTGTCAATTGTGACACAAATTTGTCATTGTGCGCTTTGCTTTTTAATTGAGAACGTTTAGGCCAGACATCTCGTCTCGAGGACCGCCGCTCATAAATCATTTTGGGTTAACATTTTCCCCATAAGTAACGCCACATAAATAAAGGCGCAGCGAAAGAGTGAAATATTTCCCCTACTTCTTCGCAGAGAACAGAAAAGAGAAAAGCTATTTCAGACAGAACGAAGCAGATCGATGCTCTATTAATTCATTAGAGAAGAAATTTGGAACTTAGTGGATATCCATTTAAATTTGTTGGGTTTCGTTATCGTTTTGTGGCTCTATTTCTCTCTGCTGGCTGGCTGGCCACCCCAATGTATCTAACAGATACAGACACACATGCGATGGCATATATAGAGCTGTTAAAAAGGGTCAAACTACTGAACAAATATTGAAAGTCAGCATAGCCCGAAAATGTTGCCATAATCCAAACAGAGAGAAAGAGAGGAGCTGCTGCCAGGCAGTTAACTAAATAATCACATTTAAAAGGCGCCAAGTGGTTCCATAAACAAATATTTGAAGGGAATTTGGAACGCATCTTGTCTGCCGCTGGCCGCTGGCTGCTGGCTGCTAATGGATTGTGGCTCGTATGCAACTGTTAAGTAAATAATCTTGGAAAATTCACCCGATTTTTGGTTTCCATATACCATTTTCTCCCCCCTTGTTTTCGGCGGCTGTGCCAAATCAATTCACGCTGTGCAATTGCGGCAATCAACATCAACATTTCTTCAGGCAAATGAATGCAACGCAATTCAGAGTCGAAATAAAAAAAATTAAGGAACTTTCAACCCCCTGGCACTCCCCTCTTTTGTTGTAAATTCTGGAAACAGTTGCGTCTGCGCTTTTGCTCATTTCGCAGTTTCACTAAACATAAGAAAATTAAATAAAATAAAAATAAAATAAAAATAACAGAACGAATCTTTTGTTCTCTACCAAAAAAAAAAGAAATTCAAAACCCGCTAAGGGTTGCCAGAGAGATCGCACAAACCTAAAAGAACAATGCTTTGATAATACAACTAGAAAGGGGGAGGGGGAAACAGGGAACGCAGAGAGATTAAAAAGGTACCAAATTCCAAATAAAAAGGTAAAGGTTTCTGTATTTTTTATCATTAAAAGAACAAAACAACGAAGAACCGAAGGAATATTGCACAAAAGAGATTAAGTTCCTTTTTCTTTTCTGTTCTGTGGCCTCGTCGTACCCCAGGAAGATATCTTCTCTCCTCGGCAAAGTGAACATTCCAACCGATCCGAGGCCGAGACCGGGGATCCGTGTGCTCCTGCTGACAATACAAACACAAAATACGCATTCGTATCCCAATCCGAAGCGTAACCTTTCATACCTGATTATGAACCATCCTCCGCCTTCATCAGAAAATGCAATTTACGAAACAAAAAAAAAAGCAGGGGAGAGCGGAGACTGTGGAAAAAGGTAAATTGCCTTTTGTAGGGAAAACCCAGAAAAAAGAAATACATATAGCATTGATTGGTATTAGGGCTTAACCTGTTCGGTCTCGGTTAGACTTATGTTACCTGCCCTCGAGGCACCGTTCTGGTCAGTTTCTGAAATGTTGTGACAGGACAAATGTCAAGGACAGACCTCGGCGAAAGGCACTTCATTAATCACGGAAATCATTCAGCTTGCAACATGCAACAAATCAACTCGTCGCATGTCCAAACTATTAGCCAAAATGTCAAGAAACGAGCTCTCATGTTATTCATTTAAAATTACTTAAAACGAAATCACATGTAGGGTGTGTGTGCATATATATGTATTTGGGGCTCCTTTGTCTCATTTTGGGGATCCTCCTCACTCAACAACAAAGAAATGATCAGACAACGAACTTTTACTGGGTATTTATATTGTATATATATCTGCGTATATTCCTCACATACTTTTTGTGGTCTTTATTTTTTTGTTCATCATTTGCATCACATGTTGCTGGTTGGTTTTTAAAGAGAAATTATAAAGCGTTTCCTTAGCTGCATCATTAGCAGCGCCAACACCAAAAGTCGCCTAACTAAGAGGATCTTCAGCGGAGATATATATCGGGGGGAGAAATAAAGAGAACAAAAATATAGGGAAAATAAGGAAAATAAGGAAAATATCACCCTGCGCCGCCTTCTGGCTGGCGTTGGCGTAGCGCATTTTACGCAGTTGCTTAGTCCAAATTAAAGTGAATATATATATAGCATAGCGGGAGAGTGCCAACGAAGAGATATATCTATGCAATCTATCTATATAAAATGCATCGGCATCATCATCAGCAGCAGCAGCGGCAGCACAGTCACAACATCAGCAGCAACAACTGCGCCAACAGAAGGTACACTCGGGGAAATAAGGATCAAAACTTTAAGAAATTAAAAATCTAGAAAATATATAAGATTAAACCTTACTCTTCAGAAGGTTAAGGGGTTTTAAAATGATAATAATTATATGAAATAATTGCTATTTACATTTTCTGACCCTTTTTTGTGTTCAAAGCTTTATAATTCTCAATCTCTTCTAGCTATTACAACCCTATAACTTCCTTCTTTGTAAGAAAAATCACTAACTTCTTCTTTTTCTGTGTACAAGTAAAAAAGTGCCAAAGCCTTATATTTTTAGCCCCTCTTCTGGGGCGAAGAAAACGACGCGCTCTCTTGCTCCTCTGCTCGTTTGTTAAAATTCGATGGGCGAATGACATTTTTGAGTTATTTTTGTCAGCCCGACAACGACAACGACGAAAACAACCACAAATATACAACCGACACAGCCAAAGAACTCAGCCAAAACTACACTGAGCTGAACCAAAACTGAACTGAACCGAGAAACAGAAAAAAGAAATAAATAAAATCCGAAATAAAAACGAAAATGCAAGCGACAACTTAGTTGTTGACGTTCGGTGAATGATCAACAAATGTCAACTGCAAGAGATCATATCATTCAAGGAAGATTTGTCTTGGTTTCTCGCTGATATTCTCAACTTTTGAAGGTGTGGAATCCGGATTTAGAACCTTTTTAAAAGGTTGAAATTCTTTAAAAAGATCTCCCTATATATTTTAAACCATTTAATATTTATTTAAATATTTAGAGTTAAGAGCTCCCACTGCACTCGTTAAGAAGATGGTCTCCTCCTCTCCGCGTAACCATTTGTTCAGAGGCGTTGCGTCAACTTTATGTGACATTTCATTGACAATCTGACAAAAGTCTATCAAAATCTCACCCAACCGAAAACGGAGAGACGGACCGGACCCGACCGGGAGCATCTTGATAAATGTGTGGTGTGTCTTGACTCTAAGTTGGTGTTCGAGAGTGTGTTGTTTTATGTTGTTCTTGCGGTTGTTGTTGCTCGTTTTATTGCCCATAGCAGGAGCCTGTCAAAATTCCAAATGGACCATAAATAAAAACATCATTTTTATAATATTCAACTGGGGGCGTCATCATCATCATCGTCGCCGGTTGTCTCTCCTCGCTGCTGCAGTTGTTGTTTGCCAAATATATAAAAATATATAAAAACAAACTAAAGCAAAACCGAAATGGAGCCATTTTTGGCATCATCATTGGGATCTTCAGAGATCTTCAACTGACTCGTAAAAATAGCAGCAGACTAAGGAAACTGGGGAGCAGGATGTAGAGCAGCCGCAGCAGCTACTTGCAACATTATAATTTGTATGTTAAAACATCGTAAATTATTTAAATGTCAGTGTGTGGCAAAGTTTCCTGGCCTTCTTCCTTTTTTTTTCTTCTTCGGTTTTATGAACTCCAAATAAAAAAGGGGGCGGCGGTGGAAGTGTCAAGTGTGGGCAGCGCCATTCTCAAGTCACATGGCATATTTGTGACATATGTTGCCTGGCTGCCAGCTTGCCGGGATGCGGATCTCACTGGAATGGGATGGGATGGGATGGGATGTTGCCTTGTTGTCAGCGGGACAGACTGTAATTAAGTGCAGGACTGGCCCCGCTTATTGAGAGAGAAGAAGCCGGAGCAGAGTGGAATCGATCCTCAACGACGATCCTCCACTCGGGGGTAATGTAATCCGATCATTTAGCGGCTTGCTTCGTTAAGTTCGTGTGCCGCGATTTGGCCTCTTGTTGTTTTTATTTTTATTTATATTTATTTAGTGGCCACATGTGGGCCATATGTGTTTCCGAAACCCCTACCCCTACCCCAATCCCAATCCCAATAGCAATCCCAACAAGATAGAGAGAGCGAAAATCGTCTCCGATTTCAGCTGGAGTTGGAGCCATTATTCTTACCTGTTTACTGAACATTGCAATATCCTCGTTGAACGATTCCGACGAACAGACATCGCCACCTTGCACCCCGGGCTCCCTCGGCGTACATGTGGCCAATTCGCACTTCTCAAAGATCAGCGCCAAAAGCGGGAATAGCGGATGTCTGGAAGGTACAATAAAATGGCACATATAAAATACATGAGAAGAAGTTGGTCAAATTTCAGGACGTTTCTGATTAATGCAAATGAGCAGCAGCTGCAGAACTGCCGGTTAAAATATAACAAAATAAACTTGGACTTTACAGAGAGTTAAAAACAATAATACTTAAGTAAATTAAAGTTTATGGCTGATCGTGAAAGTTGATTAAAGACCAGGTTCCAAGTCAAATGAAGATCACTCAAGTTACTAAAGTTACTGTTTATAATTTCTATATATATTTTTTAAATATTATTTTCTACTTCAAAATCCCATTACTTCAAGTACTTTCCTTGGGTCTTTTATTTTTCTGGATTCCCTTTAAAGGCTCAGGACATTTCCTGTCCAACAAAAATGCAAATGAGCAGCTGCTATTTCCTTTTAGTATCTTTATCTGTATCTGTATCTGCATTTGTAGCTGTATCTTGGACTGCACACACACACAGGAATAATCCCCCTCTTCATGCTGACGGATTAGTTCCAACAACTCAACATGATTTGACCATTTTTTTGTGTTGTTCTCCATGCCAGGAGTAGTTTTCCCTGCCCAATTTCTCAATTTCGTAGTTTTTTTCTTCACGCACAAATTGCACCTGAACAAAATTAGGCGGGACTACGGCTGACCAAAAAAAAGAACAGTGAAAAAAAGGGAAAAGAACAGAACCCGAGAACCCATTAGATGGCACAAAAAACTGACCCCTAAGAGAGGGGGTGTCGACCTGCGCTTAACAAACTATTAATAAGAGTCCGACCGTCCCTCCGTCCTCGTTTCAGGCTTTTACAGTTGAGTGCGTTTTTCGCCTGGACACCAAAAATAAAATATATAAAACAGGCACTCAGTTGCGATGACGTGGCGAAAAGTGTGAGCAGGAGCAGCTGAAGAGTTTTGGCTGCCAAGAAGGTGTTAAGCAGAGCTCTTTCTTTCTCTTTTAATTTCGGCAGGAAGGTGCCAAAAAAAACTAATAATCATAATCATAATAATAACAGGTGCTCAATAAAGTCATATATATAATCATTCATGTTTGTTCAGACACTCGAGACAAGGGACAATCATCAAACAGTCATCAAACAGCTGATTGAAGGCCTCTCCTCATAAGTCATTCATGAAATTCCCTTTCAAAGCAAATATTTGCACAAAAAAATGCAGCGAAAAAAGCAAAGAAAATCGAGGGGAGCTCGATGATGAAAAAAAAACTGAACAAACAAGCATTTCAGGGCACTCAGGCAGCTGGCAAAACAGTTGCAACACATGAAAATTGCCAGGACACGCAATGACACACGAAGGCGGCGATCGGGTTAGAAAAAAACGAAACCCCAGGAAAAAAACACAGAGAGAAGAAAACCACAATTTTGGCAAATTAACACCAGAACCGCAACTGCAGCTCATTTTCGATGGATATATGGTTGGTTGGGTTCCGTTTCTGTTGTTTTTTGTTCAGCTCTTGGACTCCCTAATGCCTAAGCACGTTCATGTTCCGTGTGCGTCACTAAACACCTGAGACACACCCCCCAGAAGATAGACATTTTAGGGCCTCCTCGGCAACGGCAAACCCATAATTTTGTATTTTGTGCAAAACGCAAGAGGATCACGCCCATTCCTATATAGGATCGCCGGCTCGCTTCTTCTGTGGATCATGTGTTCTCATCCTTGTTCCTCTTTTGACTGATTGTGAGTTACGCGTGGCGTTAAAACGATGTCGACTCCCTCCCTCGCTCAGGTGAAAACAGGTGGCCAACAGGGGCTGGGACTATGCCGAACATGCCAAAAATTATAAATCGTTAAAGGGGCTTGGGATATTGATTAGGGAGTTCTTAGTGGAATGTTGAAACAGTTGGACAGTTCATTATATTCCTATTATACAACTGACCTCAATAAAAAATATGGCTCATAAAAAAATATAATTAAAATTGGAACCAACTTGTATGAATAACACCTCATAAATGTTTTTTAATGTACTATATTTCTCAGAATAAAATTTAACAGCCTTGATTTGTAAATTCTTTAATGTGATCTTTAAATGCTATTAGACTATTTATTTTTAACAAATCATAAAAACTACATCTAAAACTAGTTCTGAAATGTATAATCTTTATTTTAATTCTACAAAACAATATATTTATATATATTCTAAAACTGATACTGTGAGTGATCTTCAAATGTTCATTGAAGACTGTTTTTTATTCAGCTTAATCAATGACAGCTACTTGACAGCATTTAGTTTTTTTTAGTGCCATCACTTCCCACACTTTTCATTCAAAACATTATTTTATTCTAATCATAATAGAACTCAAGATCATCTTGGGGTCATCTTGAAAGCTTTTTTTGAAAGGATTGTTTGCTTGGCAAATCATTAAATATTTTAGTGGTTTTTTGTACTGATTTCTCGCAGTTATATACTCACTCATAAATGGCATCCTTATCACGTTTATGTACTTCGGGTATTGCGCCCATTAGGTGATTACCGACCGGCGATACATGACTAGGTGTTCCATGACCCCCGGCCCCCGAATGGTAGCCGTGCATGCCCACTGTGGCCGCCGCCGCAGCCGCGTGTGTCATATGCGGAGAGTGGTGCGAGGGGAGGCCCTGCAGTCCGGGCGGTCGGTGTCCGGCGTGTGGATCGTACATGGCCGCTGCGGCGGCACCGGAGTCCATGCCGTAGCCGTGTAGGCCATCGTCATACTGAAGAAGTAGAGCAGAAAAGAAATAATATAGATTAGTTATATATAATTAAATAAATTTAGGAATATTTTTAAAGGTTAAAAAATTCTAAGAGTGTTGTTATCATACCTAAAAAACACTTCTAAAACCCTACTAATTTCTCTAACTGCATTGAAATTAGCAGCTACATGAAATCTTCACATATTTAAATATATATTTTTCTAAACTTAAGTCTCCTCTTGGCCAGCAAAAAGAACATGCCGATAAACCAAATTAAAAAATAAAATTAACAAAAAAACACAACGAACCCCAACAACTGTCGACCTTGTGATTACTTTGCCGCCGCTTCGACATTATATGGATATATACTCAGGCATTTGCCGCCGACACAACCCATACATACATTTAATATCTATACATTTTCGGTTACCTTACTTTGTCTCGGCGCTCGTCTTTTCTTTCAACGTTTTTTGCATATTAATTAAGCGCCAAAAGCAGCAGACGATTTTGAATATTATCAGTTAATCTGTCCAAGTATCTGAGTGCTGTGTGTATTTTGTTCTCTATATCTATCTGGCCAAAAAGTTGTACAACAGTTGTTTGTAAGTACATACATATTTTTTGTGATTTTTAAAGCCGCGCAATTGCAAACTGGTTTGTGTGCAATAATAATAATAATAATAACACCAAAAGCAAGTAAGAAATAATTTATGTTATTTATTTTTTGTATACTTCTAATTAGTAAAAGTTCAAGTAATGCAGAGAGAAAAGTTTGGTAGAAGTTTGAGGACTTAGTGTACTCTTCCCAAATCACTCTTTATATATCTCTTATTTGGACTAATTTTTCCAGTGTATCTGTGTGTGAGATTTTTATCATTTTGTACTCAAGTGGCGTCCGTCTTTCTGAAGATACACTCTTCTTCCCAGCTCTTCGCTTCTCCGTTTCACACTGCATAATTTGAGGGAACACGAAGAAGACGTTGACAAAAAGATTTTTGTGCAGCGACAAGAAATGATGGGAGGATGGCTCCTTACCCTTACCCCCTCCCCTCTTCATCAGCTCAAGTTGAGGTTGATTTTTTATCAGCCTGGAAAAATCTTTGACACTAAATGAGCAATTGACTTGCCGTTGAGAGTTGAGGAGCGAGAGCAAACCAGTTGAAGTGCGAAAGGGGGAAGATTTTTAGCGAAAATGTCAAGGATTTGCACCTGGAGGAAGGAGGTAAAGATATACGAGGCAGGCTAGCGAGAGCTAGCGAGCATATCTTGCAGATACAGTAGCCGCATCTGTATCTAGACTTTGGAGAAATAGTGCAGAGGCAGCAGTGGCAGTGGCAGCTGCTGCTCGCAGGTGGCTTTCAGACAAAAATGAACAAATATAAGAGAAGCTACAGCTACGATTGTCAACCTTTGAGGTTGAGAGGCAATCCTTGAGATACACACCAGAGATTAGTTTTAGCGGGGCGGCCAGTTGGTGGTAGTGGTGGTATGCCGTCTGTCGTGCTGCCTCCGTTTTGGCGTCGTTTCTGTTGCTGTTTGCACATGCACGAGATACAAACTCATAGATACAGACTTGTCCGGGTTAGTCAGTTCGTTTTTGGCCGGGTTTTTCGGTTCGCTGGGGCTCGGTTCATGGCTGTTAAACTATAAAGTTGTTATGCTAATTTTAGTGTTGGTGGCAGCGGCAACCGAACGTCGCTTTTTCTTAGCCTTTTGTTTTTGTTTCTTCGATTTCTTAGCCGCAACTCTCGGCGGCTCACTCAGGCCTTAGTTCGGTTCGGTCCGTTTAGAAATGAGGAAATTGTGGAGCAAAAGCCGTGGCAACAAAGAGATCTTGAAAATTACCACAATTTGTACTTGTACATAAGTAATGTGGGAATTTGAGACCCCAATTTGGTAGAAGAAGACGACCGACCAGAGGGCCCCCAGACAATGAGGAGTAAAAATCGAACAGGCAAATACACTTAGGTCTTTTTGGTTTGGGCCAACTTTGATTGATGATCTCTAGCCGGGGCTCAGACGAGACTCGACTCGCTCTCTCCCTATTTTCCCTCTTGTTGTTTAGTGACCGAGCCATTGACCTTGTTGAATGGGGGGGAAAAGCTCGTCGGCGGTGGGGAAAAGTGCGGATCAATAGCAGAACCAACCACCAAAAGCAGTCGAGGCCCATGGTCCTGATTTTGACAAGTTCAGCGTCGAAAATCCTTCAAAAATTTATGACAATCGCTGTGGGTGGTGTTGTGTGTGTGTGTGTGGCTGAGTTTGGTGCTCAAAACTGTCAGTGACAGGCGCTGAAGGAGCTACGATTTCTGTTTTTCTGTATTTTTGGAGCAGCCTTTTTTTTCCAGGGGGGAAGTTGCGTTTTCCAGCTCTTGTCCTAGTTGCTGTCTGTCTGTGTGTGTGTGTGTTTGTGCTTTGCGCCATAAGTGTGTGTTTTTGTCGTGTTTCGGCGACATTAAGTCATTGCTAAAAGCCAGTCAGCCAGCCTACTACTGCCAACTTTAGCCAGCAACAACTCAATTGTACTTCTTTTTTTTAAGGCACAGCTTTAAGTGCTTATAAATAGGGGGGGAAATATGTAGATTTTAGCTTTAAGTTGGGTTGCCAGTACAAGGAAGGAAAATTTGTAATAAGGTTGTCCTTTGGGTTAAATTAATATTGAGAATTTAAGGCCTAAAGTTGTTGGACTTTTATTAAAAAATATTTTTTAAATTAAATGTGTAATAACATATGATTTTATAAATCTTTTACAATTTATTCTACATTTTCTTTATACTTTTTTTCTAAAAATATTATTTCACTGTTAGAAATTTGTACAAAATCGATTTCATTAGAAGTGTCATCTTCTTTAAATATTTTAAACTTAAACTGACAAACCAAAATCCAAATTTTACACTCCTAAATGCAATTTTGATTTCCCAAAAAGATCACAAAGGTAAAGTGTAAATGGTAAATGGTGGCTTTAAGTTAAGGCCCCCCCAAAAATGCAAACGAACAGGTGCGGGTGCAGTAACGAAATTTTGCGTGAACTTGAAACTGAAAATGTTGCACAAACCAAGCCAGGAAATGGCCGCACCAGCAAGGACATTTATGGAGGGGCTTAAATGCCTGGAAACAGCAGGCGAGTGGGAGTGGGCGTGAAGTGGGGGTGTGGGCTTTATCTGGCGGCGCCTAAAACTGACCAAAAACCAGACGCCAGCGGCAGAAGAGTTATGAATGCGAGTGCAAAAATGCAGCCAGACCGTAAAGCGAGATGGAGATACTATATATACATATATGCGTGCGTGTGTGTGTGTGTGTGCTTTTGGCCAAAATGGTGACAATGGCCGCCATTATACATAGACCACCCTCCTCCGCCCACTCCTGGCCCACATAGAGGCCTCAATATGTTTGGTTGTACAACCCGACTTCGTTTATCGATTTCTTGCCTTCCTTTCGCCCCTCAACACTTTTGCTTTTTTTATTCTTTTATTTTCATAACCTCCCCGAAAATACCAAAACTACAGAAAAGAAGGAAACCTTCTTAATTGCGCTGGCGCGGTCGAAGGCCTAATCAAAATTAATTGTTTATCATGTTGTATTTGAATTTCTTTCTTTCAATTTCTTCTGCCTCTATATATGTATATATATATTGTATATCGTATATATATTTCTCTATAATTCTTTCCCCTTTTTTCGGTTTTTGGCTTTGGCTTAATTAGCAGACGAGCCGCAGTTGTAGGTGTGTCCCTTCGAACCAAGTCACGCCCAGCTTTTTAGCTTTTTTTCCTCTTTTTGTTTTTGTGGATGCCTCAAAAGTTTTTTATTTGGTGTTAGACAATTAATTTTTGTTGCGTGCCTTGGTGTTATTTTAATTTACAGTTGCAGCAACAACAGCAACCCCCCAATATTATTAACTTTTATTGCTTATAATAACAATATTATCGAGCAGGCAAACATCAAACGTCAACAGACGTCGAAAACGTGCGCTAGTTTTTTTTCGTTTTTTTTTCTCCTCCACTTAATTTATGTCTAAAAACAAATACTTAAAACAAGCAAAATATATGCATAAATTTTAAAGCAGAAAAATTAGATGATGCTCGGTAGCCAAATTGAAAGCGACCAAAGGCAGCGAAAAAAAGAAATCTAAATGAATTCTTTGGCGTTTTAACATTTATCAAAAATCAACAACAAATGACGTCAGGCCATGGCATTTATTAAATTAAAATGAGCCGGACACAAAAAAACTGGCAGATGATTAACAAAAAACCAACAGAGCAGCTCAGCAACAATAGCAACAAAAAATATTTGTCCAAAAAGGTAAACTCAAATACAAGCAACAAAAATATTGCAAATCAAAAATAAATCGAAAGAAAATATATATTTTTAGATGATTTCTGGGAATTAAAGAGCTCACCAAAAGGCGAAGACAATTTAATGGGCAAAAATTTAAGGAAAATCATTTGAAATTGTTTTAAAATTTAAAGAAAAATGTGGGAAAAATGGCAGGACAGCAAAAATCAAGAGCAACTTTTAAAAAAAAGTATTGCAAACGAAATAAATCAAATAAACTCTTTTCTTGGCCAACTTCTTCAACTCTTAAACCTCCTCAAACTAGACGAGCTACAAAAAAATTCCTCGCTTTCTCAGCTATTTAATTAAATTGCTCTGAGAGGACCTCTTGCCGAACAGCGCCAACTTTCCTAACAAAAATTCCAAAGAGCGGAAAGAAACAAAAGTCTTTGGGAGTTGGCAAAAGTTACTCAAAAATACGAAAATAAATTGCGTGCTGATGGCTCATTTAATTTAATGAGCGGCGTGCAACTTGTCTAAATGATTTTTCTCTACTTTACAACACACACCAAAAATTGTTGGTTTTTTTTCTGCTCTTTGCCCCGCATAGAGGCACTTTTTCATAGGATCCAAAGAGTTTTCTAACCCAGAAACAGTAATACCATTTTATATCGAGTCGAAGAATATTAGCGAATCACTTTGACTTAATGTTGGGGAAATTACGAGTAAAAAAACCTATACTTTATAAGACGATTTAGGCGTAAATGTAAAAAGAAATGAAACTAATGAAAACACTTCCAACGGCAGCAGCACAGCGGCGACCTCGTCAAACTTGGCAACTATGTGTTGTATGGCAAAAAACCAAAAGATACAACAACAACAAATGTTAGGAAAAAAATAATAATAATACTACAACAACTATAGCACCAGCAGGCACCGCCGTCGACCCAAGAATCAGGCACGCAATTTGATCATTAAACATGAAGCTCTTTAGCACACGGAAAACAACATTGGGAGAGATGGCGGAGAAAGAGCGGAGCCCATGTGGATATATACTAGGCCCCATATAGAGTCTGGTTCACCCGGTGCCCCCTTGCAGAAATATGCATATGTAATTTGTTTATAAATATTCCTCTCAGCCGCTCAATTTTCGCTGGCATGTGAAGTGTCTGCAGAGGGAATTCTCAACCCAACCCGAGATATATCTGATATCCGCCAGATAAGAGAGGCGAGAGGAGAAACTCTCTTCCCCTGGAGCCGTGACTCATGGCGAGGAAGCTGGGAAGACCAGACCAGAGAATTGCTCACTTAATTAGAGAAGAATTCGCAGTGAAGGTTAGAGATTGAAATGTTGGAGAATGATAAGGAAATGGCAGAGAAACATAATATATATTTTTCCTATCAAGCTGGAGAGGCTACGAAATTAATGAAGTCAAACATTTTCCAAGGTTAAAATTTTTTGTAATTTTTATTACTTTAAATGTATTTTTCTGCTTAATCTATCAAAATTTACAGGTGAATTTAGCATCTCATAAAAATGAATATTCCTTTAAAATGTAATTTCCTCTTGGTCATTAAAGATCCAATGTTTCCATTAACTTTTGGCCAATGTTTTCAGCCACTAAAGTAAACCACAATATCGTCGGCTGTGGCATTTTCCACTGCTCCACTCTCCTTGATCTTTTCTATTTCGAATTTACTATTTCTAAAGCCAACAACACAACAACAAATAAAAAAAAGAAATATCTGAACGAGAGAACTGAACTGAACTGAACACACGATAGACGAATTATATTTTATGCCACAAATTACGCTGCGGTTAACCTTTAAATTAAAATAACACCAAAACAATTTTTGTGCTGCATTTTGCAGGCGTTTGAAATGGCAATGGGGAGGGGTTAGGGAGGGAAAACTGCAGCAGCTGCACATTGCACATTTTTATACAAATTGCAATTGCAATTGCACATTTTTTTTCTCGCAGACTCTCTTCTCGTTCCTCTCTTTTCGCTCTGGCATAAAATAATCAAATTAAATATATATAAAAAGCGCGAAAATTGCTTCCCGCCATTTTTCCCAAAGAGAGAGAATCATGGAAAATGATAAAAATAAAATTGTAAATAATAAAACCGCGAGAAAACACAGTGTGCAATAAAATTATATGCATCAAATGCACACAGAGACAGGGGGCAGCCCGTATATATCTCGAAAAATTCATTTGATGGAATTGAAATGGCGCGGATTCGGGTAAAAGAGCCGCAGGAGAATTACATGGGCTACGAAACGGGTTAACACACACACACACATAGGGCGGTTGGGTTGGTTATAGGGGGTTAAGAGCAGAGAATCGTGTATTAAACCACAGGCGTAAATTTATTCGCCAGTAACGCACACACATAAAAATCACCACTGAAAATTCCCGCGGGCATTTCGCATTTCATTTCGTTACGTTTTCTTTTTTACTTTTTATTTTTCCATTTTTGGTTTTTTTATATATTTTTTTTAATGCTCACTAACACACACACACACACACACTGGAGTACCTGCGCTAATTGGTAACGCACACTGTATCTGCATTTGTATATTTCAAGTCTTTTTGCTCTGTTAATAAAAAATCAAGTTCACTTCTCATGTCCATGATAATCAATTGATAAAGTCTAACTGCGATTTGGTAATAATATTTAAGAGAGTGGGAGAGCGCCACAGAGAGAAGGCGGAGACTGCCGGTCACCTGATTAGCATATAATTTATGATCCAGTTGGATTGTAAAAATTATTATTACCTTTAAGCAAAGGCGAGAATTTATGCCGCATAATATTGATGGAAACAAGATTGTGGCAGAGGACTTTTTGAAGTGATGAACTTTTTTATATAGGAAATCTTTTAATCTAAAAAAAATTTAATGTTTCTGTGAAAGAACCTCTTAACCAAGAACAGCTGTTTGCTTGTTTTTGACCTTTTGTTTAATCGAATATTTTAAATTATTATTAAGAAAATCTAAATCTTTTCAATGAAATATTCAAATTAACTGAGAAATATTCCAAGAATTTTGGCTAAACAATGATTTACTAAGAAGACATTTATTTATTTTATTATCAATCATTTTTAGAAAATCCCAAAGCATACAGAATACATTCTTTTTTACTAAACATTGTTTTTAAATGTCACAGGGTCTAAAAAAAAACCAAATAGATTAATTTATTTCTTATATTATCTTGAATTTCTTAAATGGCGTACTCTCCTAAAACAGAATTCTTTAAAATGCGATTCACTTTATCAAACATTCTTCGTACAACACCCTGACTTTTGGATGCCTACAGATTCAGTTAATTACATAAACTTGTACGAGAAAATGACCCGCATAAATCAAATGTGATTTCTTTCCTACTCCAACACACACAACGCACAACACACACACTCGATCTGGATCGCTTGGTTAAATTTCTCGACTCGATAGGGCTCTATTAATAAATAGGAACTGTGTGTATTCCCCATTGAATTGATTAAAATGGGGAATATTAGGGAAGGTTTTAGGCAGCCATGCTTGGGGGCCAAGAAGCTATAATAGTGACTTGACGTTAAAGAGAAGTCGTGTGTAGACTTATAGGGAAATTTATTTACTAAAAGTAAGAATTTTTTAAGCATTATCTAAGTTCTGAAACTCAACTAATAGGTGATCAAGTTATTTTTTATTTGATAAGTCAATTTTCAGATGTGAACTTAGTGAAATTTTTTGATTTTCATAAACTTTTGTTGATTATAGTATAATATTTATAATCAAAAACCAAATGTATTTAGAGAAATTTCTTCACTAGCAACATAGACTATATAAATATGTGCCGTCGGCCTTTGAAAACTCCCCAAGTAAGTACCTAAGATTTAGTTTAAAGGACTTTGCCGTCGCTATCTTGTACTTATGATAACAACACTCTCTAAGTAAAACCTACTATATATTTCTTGGATTTTAAAATGTTACTACTTACCCTGGGCTGAGCCATTAATGCTCTGGGAGCGACGTCTAACCCGATTTGTGCCACTTTTGGAGTAGAACCGACAAATTGGGGTCGCAACACACAAATCGACGTCCCGCTCCGACGCTTCTACCTTCTGCTTCGTCCTGCGCCGCTTCCGCTGGTACTTTTTGCTTTAGGGACGCTCTACTGTACTTTTAGGTTTTCCAGTTCTTTTTATCAGTTTAGTTGGAATTTTTGTATTACTTTTGTTTTTGTATTATTTGTTTGTTTGGATTTTATGTTTGCACTTTTACATCTAATTTTGGGGAAGCTTTTTGTGCTTCGTTCTTCTCTTCTTTTTCTTTTATTATTATTTCACAGGCACATTTGTTTAGATTTTATGTATTATTATTACGTTTTTGTATACTTGTTGTTGTTACGCGCGCGATTTGTTGTAGGAGATCTGTTTTTTTTTTTTTTTGCTTAAAGTTTTCCTTTTTCGTTATAATATTTTATTTACATATAATTTGTGTGTTTTGTTTGGTTTTTCTTTTTATATAAAAATCGTATACAATTTGTTGTTAGTTGCCGTTGCTGTAGTTATAGTTGTTGTTGTTCTTGGTATACTCAAGTATTGTTGTTGTTGCTGCAACATAATTTTTGTTGATTGTTGTTGTTGGGTCTTGTCATAAATCCATGGCTCGTCTTCTTCGTCTCTCTAGTTTTCCTTGCCGTTTTCCATTTGGGTTGGACTTTTCCTTGGGATTCTTGTAGTTGTTGTTGCTTGTTTTTCGTATACTCTTTTTCCGTATTGTTGTTGTTTATTTTGTTAATTCTCGTATAATATGCGCACTATTTATCACAGCTGCTTCTACATACTACGTTACTAGAGTTAAACAAATGAAATTGTTTCTTAGCAATATATTTTTTGTATTTTGAAATTTTTGCTGTTTTGCGACGGCAAAAGTTTGGATGAGAGAGAGAGTTGGAGATATTGCGGGGGGATCGGCGGGATCCCCTCGTCTAAGTAGCTGCCCCCTTTTCGGCAACAGAAAATATTGAGTAGTTTTTCTCTATTTTCTTTGTTTCTAAATTTTCATTCAAAATTGTTGTTTTCGCGGTAACACTAAAGAACGTAATGCATCACGTAATGCTAAGCTAGGCTGTACGGGGAAAAACGCGCGCGATTTCCAGGCGTAGCTTTTCGGTTGTTGTGTGTGGTTTGGTGCTCGCTTTTTGTGTGTTTTTTATAACGGCAATAATAATAATAAACTTCACCGACGGCAACAACGACGACGACGACGACGACTACGCTCCGTTTCTTTTATTTCCTTCATTCGCTTACGACGAAAACGGTGAACACGCAGAGAACGCAGAACGCAACACAGAGACACGTCGTATCACGTTGGCAGCGAAAAATACACTGTGCGGATACGCGATACACTGTGTGTCAATCATTCGCCGCCGCCACTGCCGCTGCTCGCTCTCTCTCTCTTCGGCTCGCTCTCGCGCTCTCCCCCTCACACACGCTCACATGCAACAATTGTGCCATTAAGCGCGTTCGGGCCATAACTCAGACGGTGCAAGCGAGACGAATATAGTGCGTTGTTTATTGCGCAGACTCCGGCGAATTGCCCGCTTCGCTGTTTGCGGCGAGAGAGCGCAGGCGCTCTCATCCTGGCGATGACTGATTTGTTGGTACGCCTCTCTGTCATGCACACACTTGTCACAGTCATACAGGCCAACAGACACACACACACACACAAGCACACCCACCCCCTCTCACCGTACGCTGCCGGCGTCGACTGCGCTCTTTTTGCGCAACGTAGCGTTTCGCCGCGCGTTTGAAATTTATTTGGCTTTGGCCAAAAGGAGACGGCTTATAGGTTTTTGGCCGCTGTCGGCGTCGCTGCTGTCGGCCGGCGTCGCAGTGCGTGGCGTTGAAAATCAGCAAAAACCAATCCCATTTGTTATTTTTCGCTTGAGTGGCAGTTGGCAGTTGCTCTTGCTATTCTGGCTCCAGCTCTCTTTGGCTTTCGCCGCACCTTTACAGGTTGCGTTGCGTTGCGTGAGTGGAGAGAGTGAAGAAAGGGGCGGCAGGCAAGAAATACGGCTCCTTCGCCGCTGCTCCAAAGTCTCCTTTTCTGTTTTGAGCGCTTTTCACTTGTCCATCAGCTTTCGCTCAAGGTATTCGCCTCGCTTTTACGCTCTCACACAGATATTCACTCTCCTTCACAAGCACACACACACACACTCGGAAATAAATAGGCAACGCCTTCGAAGAAAAGCAACTAAAACGAGGAGTAAAAGAGAAGAAAACTGACAGCTTTTTTGCCTTGCCATAACGGTGATCTGGCCACTTTGCAGGACATGATCCTGCCAGCAACAATAACAAAAGCACAAACAGCTGTTTTGTCGGCAGGCGTCTCTTTCTCCTACGCTCTCTCTTGCTCCCCTTGGCGCGGCAATAACAAATAGCGCGGCGATAAATTGCCGAAATAACATTCAGCGAAAATTGCATATCCTGCAGGTCACTCGTCGTCGCTCCTGTCCGGCCCTGTCCCGTTTTATCCTGCTCAGTTTTGTTCTGTTCCGTTCTGTCTGCCCACGGTGGCTCAGCTTTTATTTCTAGGGATTTTTAAAATTCTCTTACGGATTGGAAATGATAAATAATCAGGAATTGGATCCATTGGATGGTTTAAAATTAAATAATTATTATTTAAGATTAAGACGGAAACCTTTTTAAATTTAAAAGTCCCTTAATTTAATTCATTTATTTGAATCTTTAATAACGAAAGAAACATAATTTCAAAATGATAATAAAATCCTATTGGAATATTAGATTACGATTACATTTCTTTGTATAGAGAATCTGTAAGATAACTCCTCATATCCCTTAAGATGATTAAGAATATCCTTTGCTAGTTGATATTCCGATTGTCCTTTAAAAGCCCCTTATTCAGTGTATTCAAATTTTCGGTTTGCAATATCTGCTCAGTATTGTTGCTATTATTGTTGCTGTCGTGTCGTCGTCCTCGTGGCAGTTTAAAAAGCAGTTAACACATATTCCCAGGCAATTTTTCACCAGCGTATTTTTGGCTTGGCGCTGCAGTTGGCCATTACGCCCGAAAGAGATGGGAGACAGAGCGAGATGGCGAGAAAGAAAGCTTGGCCGCCGCCGCCGCCGCTGCTGCTGCCGTTTTTAGGAAAATGAAAAATAGCCTTGTTTGTTTTCCGGCGCGCGCGCTCGCCAAAAAGGATTTCCCGTGTCTGTTTTCCCCTGGTCAAAAAGATGATGTTGCACTTAATCTGGTTGCCATTTCATCTCCTGGCAGATATCTTGGGGGGGATATGGAATCGGATCAGGCGGCCATATATACAGGAGGTCTGTGTCCTGTCAACACTCTGACAAATTTATGAGACTTTGATTGATTTGCGGTCGCCTTTTTCGCCCGATTCTTGTGTTGTCTCTTGTGCGGCTTCTTCGGGGGACAGCGAGAAATCAAGTGTAATTTATTTATTCATGTCCGCAGCGAAAGTCAAATAAAATCGAATCAATTAAATGCAATAAATTAGCGGGCTTTAGTGTGGGAACTATTCGGTGTTTCGCATCTCAGCGGATCGATCGGTCTATTCAAAAGAGTTAAAGTTCAAGGTTGACAACTACGGCAATCTTGTTTAAAATAAAATTGTTAATAAAATAAACATTTCTTGGAAAACTTGTATGTTTTAATAAATATTGATAACAGAAGTCACCTAATAATCTAGGAAGATTTCAAAGACTATAGGAAACAAATCATAAATCATTTATACAACATTTATTTCATTTTAGTTTTACAAATATAAAATTAAAAAAAAACTTTAAAAGTAAATATTTTATAAAGAATGGAAAACAAAATAATTTTTGGTGATTTTACATCGATTAATATGGAAAATTGTTGAGCTCTATTTGAAAAACTGTAATTTATTTTATAGTTTTCTTTTAGAATAAAATTTTAAATGTATAATTTCATTTGTAAATGTAAAAAAAATCATAAATAAATAAAATATTAATAATGCAAACAATTGCAATACACATTAGCTAATTTATTTTTATTAAAATGTTATTATAAATGTAATTAATACACGAAAATCTTCAATTAAGGAAAACTTTCGCCACAAAAAAAACACAAAAACAAAGAAAAACCTTCGACAACCCTCTAAAAATTCCCCCGAATCTCCGAGTCAAGTTGGAATTTAATTTAATATTTAGAACTTTTGCGAAATTGAAGGGACCATGAAATTTAAATCACCAAAAAAAGAGGAAAATATAATCAAAAGGCGAGCAGAAGAGGTGGCAGAGGGAGGCGGAAAACCCCACCCACTGAGCGCAAAACAACACAAAAAAGAAGCAAGGCAAAGGAATCGACTCGGGAAAACCTCAAGGAAAATTGCATTTGGAAACTTCCAATCCCAGACGAGCGAGCGAGAGAGGGCCCAGAGTGGAGTGGAGTGAAGAGTGAGTGAAGGGGGAAAGCTCGGGTCGGGCTCTCACTCACACCAATTGGGGGGCAGCCAATATGATTTAAACACTCACACTCACACACACACACTGGCAGCGACGTCAGCAGAGGGGAGCCCTCCTGTATGTGTGTGCGTTGTGTGCATGACAATTCATCTCTTTCTTATAAACGCAATTTATCAAATGGCAAACGACGAGCGAGCGACAGCAAAAGATGAAGACGACGACACGATATCAACTTGATGTGGCGCCATCTCCCTCGCTCGCTCGCGCTCACACCGCTATCGCCTGCTCGCTCGCACACCGCTCAAGCAAAAAACCAAGGCAACAACAATCAGCAACAGCAAGAACGGAAAAAATGGCACATGAAGAAAAATAGGAGTTGCCGTCGACTCTGCTTCTTCTTCTTCTTCGCCGCCGTCGTCGTCGTTGCCGCCGCCACTGCCCCAACAGCAGCAACAACAACAACACAACAAAGTGACTGAAACCGCCATAATCTTGACAGACAAGTGCACTCTCTCAACACACACACACACACACGTCAGGGAGAGACTCTCTTTTCGCCGCGTTTTTAATGGTTTGTTTTTGTTTGCGAATTCGCCGGGGAGAGCGGAGAGCCTGCCAGAACGAGATAGCCTATAATGTGGCTGCCTCAGAGCGAGAGGCCGAGCTATGTTTTATGGCAACGCGTTTTTGAACAGCTGTTCTTGTAGTTTGAGAGTCACTATTAAGCGGATATTTATGCTGTCACAGTTTTTGAGGCACTCGGTTAGGATGTTTTGGTTTTTTTGATTTGAATTATTTTCGATTTTATATTGTTTTTAATTGTTTGTTACAGTTTTTATTATTTGGAAAATTTTGGGTTTAAGTTTGTGTTTATTTTTATTATTTTATTTTGAATTTTTCTACGTTTTAAAAACTTTATTTATCAGTTTTTGAAAGGATATTTTGTTAATTTTATTTTTGTTTAAGAGTTCATTATTATTAAATTACTTTGTATTTTTTATCCTACTTTTATAGCTGAATTTTATATTATTATTTGGTCTTTAATCTTTTATCAATTAAATATTTAAAATATCCTTGAATAATTTTAATTTTAATTTCCGATTTTAGTTTCCTGGAATTCTGGGCTTGCAACACGGAATTTACACCAGATTTACCTGTACATATTTACCTGTTTTTCCCAGCTTCATTCCTGAATCCTCCTTCTGGCCTAAAACCTATGTATTTTTTTCTGTTTTGTGACTTTCAACGCTTGAAAAGGACCACAAAAGGCTTAGGACACTTGTACAAAATTCTACCTAGATCGGGGACTCACACCCTCACAGCACTGCGAGAAATTTACAATATTTTCTAGCCTAATTTCTAATATTTAAAACCTTTATTTAGAAATTAAATATCCTTTATTTCCTTACTCTGCCTTAAAGGTCCTTTCTTTCAAGTCATCCTTCAGCCTACTTTAACTCTCTTTTAGGAAAACAAAATATATAAAAAATCGATGGCAGAACTTTGCTGGTTAAACAAATGTGCCGGGTCATCCATCCAGGACGATGTCCTTTTGGGCACTCGCTCTGCATTTGACAGCCGCCGACAAAAGTGTCAATTTCGGTGTTCATTCCGGCCAGAGCGCCGACGGGGCCGTGTCAACAAAATGCGGCCTAAACAAGGCCAGAGAGTGCCTGCCTCTCTGCCTCACGCCCTCAACAAATTCTCAAGGACAACAAGCTGAATGTCCTTTATGGTATTTTGTTTAATTTAAGGTTATCGTTGACTAACGTGTTTTATTTTTATATATTTTTTTTCGGTTCTTCAAAGTGAAAGAGTTAGGCAGTTAAAATTTACATGTTTTATTATTTAAAATTGAAAACAAAGGGTTTTTGTTATTAAAAATAATAAAAAAATAAAGTTAGAATAGTGCTTAATAGTTTAT